AAGGCACTTGTTACTAGAAGCGATGCACTTGTTCCTAGTAGCTTATTTGTTGTAAGTCCCAGCCGAGGGTTTCTCCATGTTTCTCCGCGTGGCTTGCTGTGCTGGCCCTGAAGACCATGACCCGCGCGGTTTGGTGGACTCGTGCGGTGCTGGAGGCACTTGTGGAGGCAAACGTCAAAGACTGTGAATTCCGAGCTGACTTGAGAATTAAGAAGGCTATACGATGGACATTCCGGGATGACTTCAAAATCTGTATTGCTTATACTTTGTATCATTGTTGATTCTTATTGCACATCTCCTGCCAGGTGACCCCCGTGTTAAGCTTTGACGGCTCTCATCGGAAGACTTCTTCGTTCTGTGTGAAATCGTCGGTTCTGCCTTTGTTGAGCCGGCTGTGGCTTTGGTTACGTCACTCACCGCCACTAACACACAGGCTGTGTACAGGCCGTTCAATGGAACGCCGTTCCGCCCGAACTCGATGTCTTGGATGGGGGATGGGGGTCCACGTAACCACCAAACTTGGGAACTGTGCCATCTACTCTCAACCCATGTAGGTTTGATTCCTTCCTCTACTCTACTTCCTACAGTTACGATCCATGAAGTTCCGATCGAGCCAGACTGAGTGTCCGTGGAGCGTCCGCGGAGCGAGCGCTGGCAGATGCACCAGGTGGCCATGTACAGAATCGTCCAGTCTTTTGAGGGGCTATCTCAAAAACAGCTGGGACTTGATGACTTGATCAGACTTGATCTTTTGAGTCATGGAAGGTCTTCTCCATCCCTTTCCCTCGGTAAACCTCTCATGAAAATGATCTGTCTTGGACCTATAGATCCACCAAATGATGCAAGTTCTTGGGCAAGGTTTGCTTGCACAAAGCTCAAGCTCTTGGGCGACACCCTGGGCGATCTATGTCCGAAGACTCTGAGTTTCTCCGCAACAAAACTTGCTTTTTCGCTGTGATGAACTCGCCATTTGCTGGAAGAATCATGCAAAGTACCTGCCCGTGGAAAACCAGCAGTGTTCCCGGTTCCCTACAAAAGTCAGTTCCCCAAAATCGACGATATGTTTCCAGAAGTCACATATTTAGTTTTGGATGTATCCCACAAACTCCCTCTGCATGACACCCGGCGCGTTCGGTATTGCCAGCGTTGCCCCTCACACCTGAACACCTCTTCCTTTCCATTTGAGCGCCACGCAAACACATTGAAGCTGCTAGAATGGTTGGCAGTTCGATCCAAAGCCACTTGTAATACTGCATTGATTTGGACTGGGGTTTGGACTTGGACATTTGGCATCGACTTGAAGCAAAGAGATCTCTCTCCGAATTAGTTTGTGCCCATGCCAGGAGCAGTGGTATATGAAGAAGGCTCCAGGTGGCAAAGAACATATAATAAGGTCTAGTGACTAGGAGTGTGTCTACATCACGTCCCAAATCCTCTTTCGCATTTGGCACCATGGACGGGGAGAACTTGTTCCACAAAAACAAGGGCTGGGGCCCCTTGTGGTTTTCGGAGAGGTGCTTCGCCCCCGAAGAGCAACAACAACAACAACAACAAGAACAACAACAACAACAACACGCTTTCACCATCAAACAACCTGCAAAAGATTGCAAAAGCAGTTACTGTAAACGAAAAGCACACCCCAACACCACCACCCAGGTCGTGTGCTTGTTGGACGGAACATACCTCGTCAAGGGGGTCTGTAAACCACCCGACCTGGGTGGTGGTGGCGGCATGTGCTGGCCAAAAGCAACATGGCAAAATTACTAACAATGCCCTTGTTACTAGTAACTAGCTTCTAGCTACTAGTAATGGCCTCCAACCTAATAGCTTCTAGCTACTAGTAATTAAGCCCTTGTTACATCTTGTTACTAGTAGTGATTCCCTTGTCTACTAGCTTACCTAAGCCCTAAGCATGAGATCACAGCACCAAGCTCACCCGCCCCCTCCCGGATCGATCCATTCAACCGCTCAGCGGCTTCCCTTTGCCGTTGCCGCCCACGATGCCGATCTTGTCGCCGGGCCTCGCATCGTGGAGAGTCTCGGGACGAGAGGACCGGGTTGCGGGGGGCACGACCGGAGGTTGGGGGGGGCATCGCTACTAGTACCCAAAAGCACAGGCTTTCTTAAACTTATATATAATATATCATAATCTCTTTTAAGAGGTATACAACTCACCATCCAAGTGGACCGTTTTCTGGGTTTGAGCATCAACAGTGTTTACACCTCTATCCCGCTTGGAGGTCTACAAGATCTGAGAAGCGCTATACTTGCTTGATCTTACTATTCTTACTCTGCTCATCTGTTCATCGTCTGCTCAGCACCCCAACGTCACCATGAAGTCGCAGTCCTCGTTTACACAACGAGCGGCCCGAGCGGCAAACAAACGGCGGGCAGAGTCCCCGGGGCCTGCGGGAAGGCACATGTCCAGTGAGTGGCACGTTGTGGCGTGGCACGTTGTGGCTTCTTTCTTTTTTAGCATCAAGTTGTCAGTCAAAAGGGTTCAATATGATTCAATTGAATCTGTTGATGAAGAAACATTGGAGGGAACTACGACTGGCCAGTGTGCCCCACCGAACAGAAAGGGATTCGCCATGTAGACCCGGGTCTGCTCGGTCTTCAACGAAAGAAACATCAAACCGGGTCGCCACACAGCTCTTGGGGGTGCCACACAGCGATGCGCGGTGCATACCATCCCGTAGCCCAAACACCCGAAGCGTTGGTGCCACACAGCTATCAGCACATCTGGAAAGCTGCCAACTGAAGCAAACTAGCAACTATACACAAATCAGTCCGCTTTCTGCATGTCTAGGTCAAAAAGCCGCGATCATGGGATGAATGCAAAGTCGAGTAACGTAGACTCTTAGTCTTGGTTCATTTGGATTATCCACCTCTTCGACTCTTCATATGGGCCACTTCTACGACCCAAGAGTCTACATTATAGGAGCATCATAAAACGCGGCCAATTGACTGGCCCATTGCCACATGTGGACCCATGGCCCCCATGGCCCCCATGGCCCATCACATCACTCCTTCAAGAGCTCGTACTCCTCATCGTCCTCTGTTCCGTATCCATGGGAGACTCGCCGCAACTGCCAGGTGTGACGAAGTCGACCAGGGGTCAAAGTGCCGCGGACCCGGGTCCCGAATGACAGCGAATTCTTCAAACGCCCACACCGAACCAACACACATCAGGTCCGGCAGTTCCGTGCCGATTCCGGGGTGCGCCTGTCACATCCATTCGGATCTATGTAAAAGCATCTTGAACCACTCCTGGATGATCTCCCTGTGATCTCCTTTGGGTCGACCTCTTAAAGACCCTGCTTGATTCCAAGTCACCCTGATCACACCACCATTGCGGTCATCGATCGTTGATCGACACATCGATCGACACCCGGACGGTCACTCCCGCATGGGCCCAGGATGGGACCCAGCGGTCCAAGCAGAACATCCGGATGTGAATTTGTTGGGGGGTACAGAAGCAACAAATCATCCCGTTTCTTTGTTACTACTAGCCTGGCACTTGTTACTAGTAGCGTGGCACTTGTTACTACTAGCTTCTTGTTACTACTAGTAAGGCACTTGTCACTAGAAGCGATGCACTTGTTCCTAGTAGCTTCTTGTTACTACTATGTGAATTCGGTCCAAGCAGAAGCAACAAATCATCCCGTTTCTTTGTTACTACTAGCGTGGCACTTGTTACTAGTAGCGTGGCACTTGTTACTACTAGCTTCTTGTTACTACTAGTAAGGCACTTGTTACTAGAAGCAGCAAGAACATGCAAGAACCGTGGGCGACTCGAAATCATCATTGCATCATGGTTACGTGGATGGCCCCCGTTTCGACTCGGATGACGAAATCCGAAAACGAAACAGGTGGTGGTTTTCCATGATTATTTCAGGGAGTGCCAAACATTCAATAGAAGTTCGGCTTCCAAGTTTGCCACGGGTGAAGTGGAATTTCTTGCCACCCAGCCTCACATGGAGGGATTGGACCCTGATATGGTGGGTCTCAAATCCCTGGGCTTGTGGGGACCAGATTCGGACCGGCTGTGCACGGAGCATCTGAGGGGGACCAATGAGCTGAAAAGACAGTCGAATGGAGCGACCAGTTGAGCAAGAAAGACTGTCGAATTGGAAGGGGTTGTATTGTATGGGTTGTGGTTCCAACATGTCCGAACATTTGGTCTTTTGGAATGCTTTCCAGGACTTAAGTGGCATGCTTAGCAATCCCTTAACAACCAAATGCTTTCCAGGTTTCTTCGACCCAACTTCAGGACTTGTATGTCCTTTCAAGACAGACCGTGACCGACCCGCCGGGATCTGACGGTCGGCCGAAGCCTTGTCACGGTGAACGAGCCATGAACCCAATCAACTGCCTGCGATGTCCGCGATGTCCGATGATGACGCCTCCGCCAAGATCTCGTTCTTTGCGCCGCCCCGATGGTCTTTGGGTGGTTCAGGGAACCTGGCAAGCATGGGACGCTGCGCAGGCCGTGTTCCAAAGCGCGCTCCGCTTGAAAAAGGCGGACACCTTTTGGTCCTTCGGCCCTGCGAAAAACACCAAACGCCGCCGCCGATTCGCGCCTGAAATTGATCCTCTTCACCTGGGCGGAGAGGATTGTGAAGCAAAAGAGGTGCTATTTCAAACAACCTCTCTCACAATAATAAGTTGTTCATCAACTACTCATATTACATCGGCATGCATCGGCTTTCTCATGGTCTCCTGTTATATACAGGCCATCTGTCCTTCATCCGCCTTTGAGCCAGGCCATCGCTGGGACCAACATATTGGGTTTCCAGGTAGTCAAAGTGGCTCCTTTTGAGTAGGATCTCACGTGAAGATTAATTGTTCACAGCTCCTATGCATCTGGTTTTCGATGCGCACTATGAGCCTTGCGCAACATGATCTGTAAACGACCCTTGCCTACCTCTTGCCTTTGGAGTATCTCTGATAATATCAAAATATCATCCTATTCTACACACAGTTGAAAACAAGACTGGGTCCTGTTTCCTTTTCTGTTTTCATGAATGGGGACCCTGCTCCTGCTCAGCGGTGGCCTCGTCAGTTCGAAAATAACCCTGCGAGAAATACACAAACACAAACACCACTTTGTTTAGACTCTTTAATGGGACCGGAGTCGGTCCTGGTTCTAGTCCACTGGAACATGTACCA